TCCGCCTCCCCCCCCCAGTCGGGGCAGTCCGATCGCACTCGCTGCATATCAGAGTCTCCGCGCGGCGCGCTCCTCCTCGCTCCCGCTCCCCACTCCCGGGATGTGTCTCCGCCGAACGAAGGGCTATGGCCACCACGACTTCCGGGTTCCGTCATTTCGTTCTCCCGCCGCCGACCCGCGCCGCCAAACTGAGGCTCTTCTATAAGCCAGGCAGCAGCCAACCTGCCAACACCTACTGACACTCACTCATCTCCCAGAGAGAAAGAGAGCGAGAGAGAGCGAGCGCGAGAGAGCGAGCGCGAGTGAGAACGAGCGAGAGAGGGAGGGAGAGACAAAATACCTACCAGGAAAGAGGGGGAGGAAGTCCAATTTTTGCAAACTATTCTTTTTTTTTTCTTGATTCCCCCCCACCCCCCGCTTTCTTTGACCGATACTTTACAGAGAGAGGATCATATAATAGATACCACGGGGGCAAAGCTAAAGGAGGGGGGGAGGGGGGAGGAAAAATTCAAGAAGCAGAAACCCCTCGCGGAGTTTTACTGGAAGAAAAAAAAAACGGGTCTGAAAGATTCCTCCTCTTCATCATCATCAACCATCATTCATTCACTACCTTGACATTCCGGGCTTTGATTGACAGCTGGAGTGGCAAAAAGCCATGAAACACGACAGTTCGGTTACATGTGGGTTGCTGACGGGCCGCTCGTAGCCTTCAGTTCGGGGGCTTGACAATTTTTTTTCTTCTTTTTCTTTTCTTTTCTTTCTTTTTTTTTTTCCAACTGAGGGGCAGAGAAGAGAAAGAGGGGGAAAGGAGGACTGAAGAGGAGGAGGAGGGGAGGGGGGAGGAGGAGGAGGAGGTGGAGGAGGAAGATCAGGAGGAGGAGAAAGAAGAGGAAAAAAGAGAAAAAGAAGAAATATCACAGGAAAAAAAAACTTCGTTGTCTTGCCTGGGCTTTTTTTTTTCTTCCCTAAAAAAAAATAACATATTGGAGAATTGGGAGAAGTCTCCTTGGTTTGGACAAAAAAAAAAGGAATCTTCAGCCTAGATCACTTTCTTATCCGGACTGGGATATTAAATATACGACACATCCAGGAGTTTATTGGAGCGCAGACTGATGGCGCAAAGGGTAGGTTTAAATCTCCAACACTTACCTAGATATAAATCCTCTCCTAAGAGGGGCCTGTCCCGATGCTTCTCTCCCTTCAACGCTGCTGCTGCTGCTGCTGCTCGCTGCTTGATGATGGCGGCCAGGATTTTAGAAAATAGCAGCAAAATTATTCCTCGGCTTCTTTCCTCCCCGTGCCTTTGCGTGTGTGCGAGTGTGTGTGCGTGCGTGTGTGCGTGTCTGGGCGCGCGAGTTCTAGCGCCGTGCGAGCGGGCGGGCGGCGAGTGCGTGTGAGTGGTGTGTGTGTGCGCGTGCAATTGTTACACGCTTCGCCTCGCTCCAGCTTTCCCCCGAGCAGC